GCTGGTCAAGGAGAGAGGAATGGAGAGTGTTGCTATTCTATGATGATTTGGGCTAAATGCTACTGGATATGAAGACAAGATGAAGACAACAATTAGGAAAAAATCCGAAAACCTCTCTGGGGGAGCTTTCTAAAGAAGCATGATCTGGTCCTCTCTGTGTGGCTAGTGTTGCTATTCTATGATGATTTGGGCTAAATGCTACTGGATATGAAGACAAGATGAAGACAACAATTAGGAAAAAATCCGAAAACCTCTCTGGGGGAGCTTTCTAAAGAAGCATGATCTGGTCCTCTCTGTGTGGCTCAGTGCTTGAGTGCCGATCTCTGAACCGAGAGGTCACCGGTTTGATTCCCGGTCAGGGCACATGCCCGGTTTGCGGGCTCAATCCCTAGTAGGAGGTGTGCAGGAGGCAGCCGATCAGTGATTCTTTCTCATCATTGATGTTTCTCTCTCTCCCCTTTCCTCTCTCTGAAATAAATAATAATAACAACATACTGTAAAGGAAGTATGACCTGTAATGGATCAAGATTATGCTACCTGGACTCAGGTGCTCACACGCTGCACTCACAAGTCCATTTCCAGCCCAAGAATTCTTCAGTTCCTGGGAGGTAAGAGTCAGTCATCTAAGTCTCCTGGGATTGCCTTCCTGGTGAGAAATGATCTCCAAGCATGTTTGCCTGCATTGTTTGCTTGTTGGGTTACTTTTTTGTTCTGGTGTCCTTTAATTATACTCCGCCTCCCCCACACTCCCTCTTTCTTTGAATACCCTGCTTTCCTTCTTACACTGACACCACACTTGGTGTTTGAGTTCAATGACTCGTGGAGTTGGGAAGGTCATGGTGAAATGCTTCCAGGACCATAAATGCTCATCCATTGAGAGCCGCCATTTCTCCTTAACCCGTCCTTCCTGACAACGTTCTGCACAGACTGCAAGAAGGACACTGATGTTGGTAAGTACTGTGCACTTAGTAGACTTTCTCTTAATGAAATCTCACAATTTGTATGAGAATCTCCATTTCATTAATAACAGTGAAAATAAATAGGCACGGTACCATTTATTGAGCCTAGACTATGGCTGTTCTAAGAGCTGTGTGTGTGTCAATCCACGTAATCTTATGAGGAAGGTGTAATTGCTGTCCCCCTTTTATAGGTGAGAAAAATGAATCTGAGAAGTTAAGTAACTTCTACAGGTCAGAAGTGGAGAAGCTCACACCGAAAAAAGAGGTAAGGCTCAGAGCATCGTAACCATTATGTGGTAAGATGTGGAACCAAAGGAGAGAAAGTTCTATCCTATGCCCAAGATCAGATTTCAAGGTCTGGGATTTGAACCCAGGCTTGTTTGTGTCAAAAGCTTGTCTGCAGCTCCCTCACATGCTCCTTCCCCGAGAGGAGAGAGGAGGAACAGGAGACGCACGCAGTCAGGGGAACCGGATCCCTCCATTTGGTGGTCTGTTCCATTCACTTGGTCACATGAGAGATTCTCACTATTCTGTGCAATGGGGAACTTTTTTGGTCCCCTCTTGACATGGAGGAGGAGGAAGCAAAGTGGAAACAACTTAAAAATAACCTACAGTTATTTGCAAAGAAGAGAAGCCTGCGCTTATCTTAGATGTCTGTTCCTTATCTTATCTAGCAGGATTCTACCGCTTCTAAAAGTCAAGAGCGTTTTTTACTAATGAAAAATGCATCAAGCTTTGATCGTCTCTGGCTCCCCTGGCTGATCGAGTGCACACGCCCCGAGTCCCTGGACAGGGATTCCTCTTTCTCGCTCCTGAGTCTCAGCTCGTCACTGCCGAAGCCCTCACACACCAAGTGCTGAAATGAGCCTCTTTCGGGCTCAGGGGCCAATTTGGATTTGCTTTTGTTCAAAAAGTCTGGGACCTGAACCTTGCAGTCCTGTTTCCCAGCCCCCTCTATCACCGCCCAATAAAATATACATATTTTTTTAAAAGATATAACTAAGGAACAAACAAACAAACAAACAAAACCCAGCAGCCCTCGAGTACACAAATTGTAGCTTGTGTCCATGCATCTGCTACTGTCCATTAGGTGAACTTGAGAGTTTGGGCTTTGGAGTAGTTCCAAGTTCTTCTTCATGTCTGAGAATAGGTGGTGAGAAGCTGGCGTCCTCCCATCAGGCAGGAGTCAGTTTATATCCTGGTTCTCCTGCTTGTTAATTGCGTGACTGTAGACAGATTGCCTAACCTCACAGTTCTTTCGTCTGCAAAATGGAGATGATAATACTGGTGGTACCTACCTCAAAGATGGTCAAGACCTAAGAAGATAATGCATGCGCAGTGCTTGGTGCATTGAAAGTACCCAACAGATACTAACTATGCCCTTGTCTCTTTTTGCCCCGCCCCCACTTCTCCATTACAATGAAACACCAGAGGAAATGTTAGGACTCAGCTCTAGAGGGAGAATCATTCCTTCCTTATCAATCCGAGGATGGATCATAAAGTTGACAAGTGCTCTGATCAGCCCAGGAGAAGGGGTAAGGAGTGAGGGGCCCAGAATTCATACAGGTGAGCATGCCACATGGCTCAAGGTAGCAAGTAGGCTGAATGCCAAGAGCTGGATCTTCAAGCCCCGAGTGACCCTGGCCCTGAGCAAAGAGCTCCACAATCGTTCGTCATCATCTTTTATTGACTCACATACATTTACAGATGGATTTGGCAGTGTAAGTGTCCCCTTAAACTCAGCTCACTCCTGTCCCCACCATCTCCTGGGCATCTGCTGAGAGCAGGGTCCATGGAGTGGAACGGAGTCACCACCACATGCATGCCCAGCCTGAATGGGACCTTTTATCAGTAAATCAATGAGGCATCCTTCAGATTCTGTGACTTCCTTTGGGGGGAAGGAGGAACATGGGCAATATTAACAATAGAACATTGTACTCAAGTCAGGCATCCAGAGAATTGAATTAGGGAGGAATGACAAAGGGGAAAAAAATCAAATTAGAGGCAGCGGGTAGTAGAAGAGGTACAATCGGAGATAGCCGGCCAAATGCTTCCCACATCAGTGGGAGGAATCACGGATGTGAAAGACCTCGGCCCAGGTGGATAGGACCTGAATTGTGTGTTGATGTTGAATCTGAAGGTCAGACCATCATCTTTCGTGGATAACTACTAAGAAATCTGTTCAATATGTGTGTCCAAGGAATCAGAGGGCTGGCAGTTCATGCAGGTTTTGAAGATAAAGAAATAGGTCTCCTTGAACTTTTTTATTTTAAAGGCATAGACGATAGGGTTCATCATGGAGTTCGCGTGAGACAGCAGGATGCCCAAGTTCAGCACCACCTGGGGCACCTCCCCATTAAAGTAGATGATGCAGTTAAAGATGGATAAAGGCAGCCAGGACAAGGCAAACAGAAAGAGAACCAGGAACAAGGACTTGGCCGTCTTGAACTCCCGTCCATAAAATGAACCTGTCTCCCTGGAGCTGGAGAAGTTCAGACTGAGTTTGTTGCGGATGATACAGAAGATGTCCATGTAGATGGCGCACATGGCAACCAGGGGGATGAAAATCCAAGTGAAGAAGCTGAAGTACACCATGTAGTCCATCCTCATGACCGAACGGAACTGGCAAGGAAGGAAGGTCACATTTCTGGGGGACCCCGGGGACAGTTTCATGTTCCAGCCCAACATGGGGGTCAACCCCACCAGGATTGACAGCAGCCAGCAAAGGCCCAGGGCGCACCATATTCTCCTTTGAGTGGTGACACTCCTGTATCTGTTTGGATGGGAGAGAGTGGGTGAGTTCACAGCATTTGCTAAAG